CCCTCCTCCTCCTCCTCCTCCTCCTCCTCCTCCTCCTCCTCCTCCTCCTCCGCCGACACGATGCGCCGCGGCATACCTTCTTCTCGCTTCACCCTTGAACGGAATCAGCGTCCTATCTGATGGGCCACGGGCTGAACTACGACCGTGCACCTCTCTCGCTCGTTTCTCCACCGCGTGGCCTCCTCTCTTAGCCTTCTTCTTATTCCGGCTCTTTGCGGAATAAATCGCGCAAGCGGCGCGCCGATGCTTCTTCGACGCCCGCGAAAGAGAGGGGAAAGGGATCGCGGTTACACTCTGCAGCTACGAAGTAGATATTGTTACCGATGTAATGGAGCCGAGCCACGATTTTTCGGGACCGCAGTTTTGAAGTTCGTGAAGAGAAAGGGAAGAAGGCCGCGCGCGGTCAGCTCCCTGCAACCGTCAGGCAGAATTTATCGTCGCGCCGGTTCGAAAGCACGCCAGCGAAACCAAAGAAGCTGATAGCGGTGTACTATTACTTCCTTCTCACAGTGTGAACAGGAACTTAATCTGTCGGTCGATGTATGTAGTATATAAAATGCGCTTTAACGAACCGCGGCGAGAGGAGGAGATTAGCCGCGCGGACGAAGCGGAAACGCTGAAATCCCGCGATTCTCCGCCGAACGGCTCTTCCATTTAGACGTCGCGCGAGGGGTTAAAGCGCTACCGGCCACGAATGTGAATCCACCTTAATGCGGAGTCTGCGGAGGCAGCAACACTTAGAACGAGCGGGCAGGAGCTTACGGTATATCACGCGGACTGTACGGCGGAGAGAAAGAGAGAGAGAAAGAGAGACGCGGTCCTATGAGAGGACGCGCGGCATGCTCTTTCGCTGCGTCATCCACGATGAGGAACGCAAGAACGCGCATTACCCACGGATCGTCGTGGCTCCTCCGGTCCATCGTGCGACCGCTCGAGCCACCACCACCACGGCCGCGCACTTTACTCCGGGCTTCTTTTTCGCGGCGCGCCATCCACCGCGGATTTCGATTCGCGGTGCCTGGCCACTATCGCGCAACATGACGTCGCGAGTGACTTTTATGAGCGACCGGTAGGAGCGAGGATAAAAATGATCGCGTCGGAATAGATATACGCGGCTGTCTACCGGTAGTCGGAGATCATAAACTGTCCGCCGTCAAAGGCGGTAATGAACCTTCCTTTCGGCCGCGATGTTGCGAGGAGATTTAACACACTCGATATTCGATGTACCGCGAAATACGTTCGACGCTGTTAACAATAAATTCGCGCGGGCTTCATTAACTCAGCCTTCAACGGCAGTAGTAATTAATACGCGCAACGATTATTACATCACCGAAATAATTGAAATAATCAGCGGGCGGAAGCGGAATAAACGGCGCGTTCCGAGTATCGGCGCGGTGTCCCCCCCCTTCTCTCTCCGCGCGGTGGCACGTGAACAATCGAAGCCCTTAATTCCCGAGCACGAGGCAGACGCCAATGATTCACGGCGAGCCGGTTATAGGTAGCTCATCGCGCCTCGCCTGCCCGAAGCTATTTTCTCGCGGCGCTATTTTCTGCCTATTCGAAAGCGGAAACTTTATAGGGTACGGGATGCCTAGCGGGGTCACCTGCAGTCGTTCCTAGCGAGAGATTCCGCGAAGCCGTAGCTGATCTCGTTCGGAATCGCTTCTCTGACGGCGGGTTTACGATTGCCGGTCAGCGCGGTGAACGCGTTGCGGCTTCACCCCGACGAGAGTGTGGAGGGCGAAGGGGGAGGAGGACGTGTCCACGGCGAATGCTAGCTGACCGGCTAACTCTCCAAGTCCCCGAGCGCTAGCACCGGGCATTATGGATATGCGGTCCGGTTGCGTTCGAGTTGCGTCGGCGGATAATTTATGCCGCGGCGATACCGCGCCGCCCAGTTCGCCCTAAAAATTATTTATTTGATTGAACGCCGCTTCGGGGAAGGCTATTCCTGGCCGAGCCGAACGATCACTTGCGAGAACGAGAGTTCTCCTTTGCTCATTCAAGAATGAAGGCACGACGGTGCACAGGTGATCGAACTGGGCTCCGAGAAAAGCGCCGTATCGAGCCCCCCGATACTCATCGGCATCGCGCTGAATTGCGCTCGCCACGTGAACCGTCCGGATATGTAATACGTGTGCAAATAACTTGAAAGACCGAAGACTCAATGGCATTAATAATTAATAATCGTGACGACACGCTTTGCGCAATGAAGATATTATCTGCTTCGGGTATACTGAGCATACATACACACGCGCGTGTGCCTTGATAATAACGATTTTACATCCGTAATAATGGTGGCAGTATTACGAGAGGGAGGTACGGAGTATGTTCGATGGGCGAAGCGCGCAACGGATAATAGACGTCCGTTCCTGTAATTGGGTACACCTGTGAGACTGAGCGATGTCGAAAGTGCGAGGTTCATGCGCATGAATCATGGTATATCGACTGCGGTACACCTTCGAGGTCGTTACGTTAATCGTCGAGCCAGAGATCGATGCAGATGCGCGTGTATTTGCTATATCGTCGTCTAGTCAACGACGAACGGCCACGGCAAGAAAAACCCGATTGCGAGTGCCCGACCTATAACTTTCTACGTTACGTCTCATTAGCTTCCCACACTTGCCGTCACATTGCGTCTCCGCGAACAATGCCGAGCATTGTCTCGCGGCGGCCATAATTTGTAATTAGCTTCCTGATTAATTATCGATTTATCGGCCAATTATTATAATTATCCTTGGTTGTGTGCCCCGTCGATCTCATGCACCAGAACCGCGCTTTATCAGATAGTCCGAAAGGTCTCTTGCCCCCCCCCCCCTCCCCTCGTTGCGCTCGAGAATTCTAGGCCTCTTCGTCGGCTCGTAGATCTTTAAAAGAAATACCGCAACGCTTCGACACGCACCTATGTTGAATTATATTACACGGCATTACATTATTTGAATTAACTTAGACCTATCACAGAGCAAAAAATACTTTTTAATTTAATTCGTGCACTTTATGCAAATTACACGAAGATAATTTATCTAATATTCTTTACTGACTTCTCACATCTAAATCTCAATCATCTAAATTTGTTGCTCTCCGCTCACAATTTTTATTATCTTAATTAAGCTTATTTCATTTTATAATTGTATTTCACCACACATTCTTGTTTCAATTTTACGACTTCCTATTTGTAGCACTTTTGCTCCGTACTAATAGGCTTTATTTTCCTCTCCAGGTGAGATCATGCTGCATTACCGTCCTTACCACGATAGAGGCGGGTCCACTTTCTACTAATTGGGTAAGTTCTTCTTACGTATCTATATAGATAACTCATTAGACGTAAGTTCTTACTTTTGTCTTCATTGGCGCAATCTCACGGTCGGTCGAGCACGGGGAGACAAAAATGAAGGACTCGCCGGCTGCGCCGGACGGCCACATCCCTTTCTCGGTATTTCGCGAGTTGCGAGCGCGCATCAGGACCGAGGACGGCCGTATGCGAAACGGTCGATAGGAGGAGTGGCCGATGCCAGATACGAGGGTCGACCTAACTTTATTGTATTTAATTAATTACTCCGCCCGATAGCCGATCCTGCAATTTGTACCCTCCTCAGACCGCCGCCGTCGCCCCTCTCCGACGTCGTTCTTCTTCATTCTCGGTCGCCGCCTCCGCTCCTCTCCCTCGCGATCACCGCAGAATCGCACTCGCCCGTACTTGCCCGAGTATCGCAGCCGCTCGATAGATCCTCGTGCCTCGATTCGCCGGGCTGGTTCCGTTTTCTGCGCTCAACGTGTGGGAGGGACGCGCGGTATAGGTATTGACATTTTCTTTGAAATTGAATTATGCACGCGCAGCCAAGTGCGCGCCTCCGCTTTATTCGCGTACGAAGGTTCGTTATACTCTCCTTTAGCATTATACTCGAAGTATCTGTTAACAAGTGTGCCTATTGTCGTGTATGCAGATTTCGAGGGTTTCATGTTTCAATGCAGCCAAGTTTATTGCAAATAAAGCGTGCAAGTACGCGAGTTTAGTGGAGAATCGCGTATGAATTCAATGTACGACGTAGAAGAAAGACGAAACATCGATTTAAGAATATCGCGTCTCACTCTCCATTGATATGCGCGCGTAAGTTGCACTCGAGCGCGATGAGGAATCGCTACGGCGACTTGAAACTTCGTTCTACATCCGCGTAGCCGACAGTATCCCGGGGCTCGTAATGCGATACGATAAATTACGCGTAGCTCGCGTAACTCGGTGTACCCTGGAAACGGTATAAAAGGAGTACGTCAGCGACGCGCGTCGCTGTAAGCGGTATAAATCAGAGTTAGAGAGAGCTGATCTCGCGCGCACGGACGCGGTAGGGACGAGCGCGCTGTGTGTAAGGCCGCGTCACAACATCGATAATGCGACCATAATGCTAATTTACCGTTCGTACCGGAGGAATCCACTTCTCTCTCTCTCTC